CTCCCCCATCCCCCACCGTCTAACATGGCGGTCTAAAAAGGCGGTCGCAAGGTTGTAACGCTAACTCGCCCCAATAAGACGCCTGCACTGCAGGCTAGATGTAATCATGATATTTTCCTTCCCGAGTTTTACTCAAACACAGATCCAAACTGACCGGTGATTGTTGCATTTTCAAATTTTTCCGGCGTAGTGTGGACGGAAAACATTTGATGCGTTTTGAAATTTCGTAATGTAGACGCGCCCTAAAAGGACCTGGAAAGCGTTATAATAAACTGAATATGCTACGGTTCGACTGTGATTTCAATTTCTTTCTCCAAATCGTCTGGATAATAGCAGGTAAATAACAATTCTTAAGAAATGGACGACAACTTTAAGTTTAAAACAAGACATGTTTCGATCGTTCAACGATCATTTCTTTCTCGCTTTCTCGTCCAAACTGAAAGGTAGGGGGAGGGGGATGTGAACCAAAGAAATGAGACATTGAAATTGCGAGCTAATTGGCAAATATTTTAAAATCGTATGACCAAAATCGGTGGGCGATTCAGTACTCTGTGTATGCCTCACCATTTGTATTGGTCAGGTAAATTATTTAGCCAGTCTTCTTCCTCTGGTGTGTTTTCTCTGCCCAGAACTTTGTTCCGCTGTGGATAACGACCAAACTTGTCCATGACTTCCTAAAAATGTAAAAAACAAAAACGACGGCCGATTAAGTTCGAGCCTTTCCCTGGTCGCCTTTTATTTTTGCACCCGCTTTCACTCCTTTGAGAAATAGCCGGTGCCATGAGATTTTTACGTGCACCGTTTAAAGCTTTGGTCAAACGGCGCATGATAGTCGATGATAGTTGATGATAGTCGACAGAATCATTCAACTGTCATCGACTATCATGATAGTTGAATGATTCTCCCCAAATTTTCACCGACTGTCATCAACTATCATCGACTATCATGCGCCGTTTAACAAGGGCTTAAGGGCTTAAGCAAACCGCGACGTTGACGGAAACGAACGTCACCAAACAAAAGGTTTAATGAGCAAAACAATAGCTGTGCACGTGCATTATAAATCTTTGTCCATTAACCGTCCTCTGCAACACAAGAACGTAAAATTACCAAGTTCTGCTTAGTCTGAGGAACGCGAAGGACAACGGCTAATTTTTCGTATTTGCATATTTAGTCTGAGCACGTTTTAAGAGCCATTGGCGGACTGAACAGATCTAGAAAATTGCGAATTTCGCTGGTAAAATATAATTAATTTTTGACAAGGCTTCGTCCGCGGCGTCGCCGCCGTCGTTGCTTAAACTCCCTATTAAGAGGCGTAAACTCACCTTATGAAGACCAGCACACCAATGCAATTTTTTTTACACTGGATTCCTCTTCAGTACCTTTGGTGTCCTTCTCTAACTGAGCAAAAAGCTGAACGTTAAGCTCCTGCAAAGGACGAAGATAGTTAAAAACAAATCAATATTTTGAAGGGACGTCGAGAAACTGGCGCTTAATTAAAAGCTATCTGTTTTAGAAACATGCAAATATTATCAAACGTTAATTTCATCAAACTAAATAAACCAAAAAAGTCGGTCTTAACTTGTGTCCATAAAGTCACAGACCTTTGGAAGAATTCAACGGAAAACAACTTTGAACATACCAGGCCAAGACCCGAGTTTCGACAAGCTAGATTTTTATTTCTTTGAAGCATCTGTACACTTGAATAACTATAAACCTCTATAACTTCCCTTGGGAAACGCGCCAAACAATCTCTAGTTTTACTTTTAGAACGACAAAACGCGATTTACACCTCACGGCTTTTTTAAAGGAAAGTACCATGTTTGACTAACCTGTTTGTCTCTATCCTCACTGTGTTCGATTGGAAGATAAATGAAAATTCTGGCAGCAGGGCTGAACTTCAAGTGGTCGTGAGTCTCACGTTGTATGAACTTTCAACAGAGAGAAGTAAAACAGATTAAGAAACAATAACAACAACAACAAGCTTTATTACCAAATAATAAAAAAAGTTAAACTTTACAATATAATATATTAATACAAAAAAGAGGTAATGTTTACTCAGGATAACTAAAAAGCTAATCGAGCTAATCGAGCTGAATAATAACAAAGTGCGTGACACTGGTAAGTGAGTGGTTGAAAATGAAACTGACTGAAACAAGTACATTGTTACCTTTTGGGCGAGCACTTGACAGTGAAGATCCCTTGAAAAAGCAACAGGGCTACCCTAGAATAACCAACATAATATTTATTAAACTGGTGGGACACTTCGATCATTTCAAGACGGCACTAAAGAACACTGTCTATATTTAGCATAACCCAGTAAATGAATGACTTAACTTTTGTTTAAACTTTCTCTTCCTCGTTAAGTTGTTTCCTACCTCATTCCATCCTACCTTTATTCCTTCGTAGTCCATCAGCTGAGAGCCGAAAATTTGGGTTTATGGCTCACTTAAGGGGAACAGCCGAAACATGTCTTATCTTAATTTTTGACTATCAAACATCATAAAAATGTATGATAGCAAGGAAAGAACGGTAGCTTTCACTTTGTAAAGCGTATTTTGAATTTTGCCATACATACCCTTCTTTTGCCGCCA